GGTGCGCCACGCGTGCCAGGGGCGCCACGCGCGCCAGGCACCCCTGGGGCTCGAGCGTGCCAGGCACGCCTGTTGCGCCAGATGCGCCACGTGCTCCGAGTACGCCAGGTGTGCCGCACACTCCAGCCGCGCGAGGTGCATGTTGTATGGTTTTTGTCAGGGATGGTAGCCCTGCGCACAGCAGGGAATATGCTGACACCCCCGCCGCCCCTGTCAAAACAATACAAAGTGCTCGCGGGCCTTGCGGGCCCGCATGGAGTCGGCATGGTTCCGGGTTGGCCGCCGGCTGGGTGGGGAAGGGGGTGTATTACGAAGGCCTTGCGGCCGGTGCCGCCGACCCTGAGAACGACGAAGATGAAAACGAGGGGGGGGCAGGGGGAGGAGGATGAGTAGGAGAGGGAGGAAGGGCGGAGGAGGTGGATGAGGGAGGAGGAGGGGGTAGTAGGATGTGGAGGAGAACCAAGTGGAGGAGAAGGAGGCAGAGGAGGAGAAAGAGGAGGGAGAGCTGAGGGTGGGGGAGGAGGAGGAGGAGGAGGAGGAGGAGGAGGAGGAGGAGGAAGAGGAGGAGGAGGAGGAGGAGGAGGAGGAGGAAGAAGAGGAGGAGGCCAGAGGTTTTCTTGGGACACCCTGGGGCTCTCTTGAGGCCGTCTTGGGCCGTCCAGGGCTCCTCTTGCGCCGCTTGCGCCGTCTTGAGGCACTCTTGGAGGCCTCCTGGGCAATTTGGGGCTCTCCTGGGCTGTCTTGGGGCAGTTTGGTGGCCCCATTGGGAGCCTCTTGGGGCCTCCTGGGGCTTCTTCGGAGCCTCCTGGGGGCCTCTTGGGGCTGAGAGCTCGAAATGCCCGTTCGGGTCCCCCGTCTGGGCACTCTCCTGGAGCCGTCTTGGGGGCCTCTTGGCCCGTCTTGGAGGCGTCTTGGGCCGTCTTGGGGCCCTCTTCGGCCGTTCGGGGACCCTCTTGTTGGCCTCGTGGGCCGTCTCGGGGCGATATTGGGGGCCTCTTGGGCCGTCTTGGCGCGTCGGGAAGCGGAAGAGGCAAGAACGCAACAATCTTTCAAATTCGTATAGGAAATCCATGAATTGTGTCTCTTGGGGCTCTCGTGGGAAAGGTTCTGGAGGCCTCTTGGGGCGGTCTGCAGGCCTCTTGGGCCGTCTGGAGGCCGTCAAGGCGTCTTGGACAGATCGTTCGGCGATTCTGGGTTCTCTTGGACTGTCTTTTGGGCCTCTTGGGACACTCTTGGTCCGTCGTGGGGCTTTCCTGGGCTCCGAGACTTCCAGGGGGGGCGTCGTATCTGACCCCTCCCTCCCCTGGACCCCCCCACCGCCCCGGGAATAAGACCGATCACAACCACTTCGGACTGTTCAGGAACTACTTCGGTCGGATTGTAACCATTGGGAACGGACTGATCGCAACTTGAAGGACTCCTATACAAACCTTTCTGAAGAACACCGGATTGCAACCGATGCAAGAGGTTTTGCTGAGATTCTGCAGAGTTCTCAGCGAGGCCTCTGAGAGGCCTCAGCGAGGCTTCTGAGAGGCCGCAGCGAGGCCTTTCAGAGGCTTCTCTGAAGCCTCGCAGAGGCTTCTCTGAAGCCTTTCAGAGGCTCGCGGCCCGGGAATAAGACCGATCACAACCACTTCGGACTGTTCAGGAACTACTTCGGTCCGAGAAGTCTTCTCATCCTGAGATGTTTTTGTTCCTGGTTGCTTTACGCTAGAGGGTTCTAACCGTGGTAGCAAAGGACCCCAAAGCTTTCAAAGGCCCCGCACGTTCCACAGGTCGCACAAGTCCACAGTTCCCACAGGTTGCACAAGTCCCAAGGATCCCACCGTTCCCGCCTGCCCCGCAGGCCCAACAGGTCCCACAGGTCCTGTGGCTCCCGGGCCCAGGGGCCGTCCAAAAGTGACTCAGTATGCAATGTTGGTCTACTGTAGGTTCATGCGGCGTTGGCACGCCTGCGACGTTGGCGAAGGCGTTCAAAGCTGCATTCTGCGACGCGGAAGCACCGAGGGACACGGTGGGGCCACTGCACCCGACGAAATTCAACCTTGAACGATCGGGGCCGCGATCGATTCAAGGTTGAACGGTCGACGCGGTGCCAAAAGCCTTGCGAGTGCCGACGCCGCGCGAACCTAGCATAGGGTAATTCGTCAAAGACCTGTGGGGGTCGACGTTCCGGAATAGTCATGATGTTGAGGGTCGTGGGAACACAGACCCAGGGTTGGCAGACCCGGGGTGAATTTTCTTTAATAAGGCCTCCGGAACGGAGCCGGCCTGCCACCGCAGCTTTTTCGGTTCCGTTTCGAAGCAAGCGAGCTTCTCGCAAGCCGCGTGCAGCGAGCCACGCCAGGGCCAGGCAAGCCGCGCTGCTGCCGCAGGACCTTTCCGATGCGGATTTTTCTGCATTGCAGGATTTGATCCTGCACTGCAGTTTTTCTGTTCTGCAGCACTTTTGCGGGACATCTGAAAATCTGCACTCCTGAACTTTTTGGTTTGCATTTCAGTTGTTGTTTCTTGCACGTGTGGGTTCGTCCGGCCACGAGCCGCCCCTGTGGAGATATTGGGTACGGTGTGGAACTCAGGTTGAACATCTGGGCTGGGCGCATGACAGGGCCCTTGGGCGTCGGGGCTTGCGCGCCCGAAGCAGCTGCAGAATACAAGGCCCCAGCCCCCGGTCTGCCGACCCCTGGCCGAGGTGGTCTGGGCGTTCGCCTTTTTCTGCCTCGCTATCCTCTCCTCAGTCCTTCTTTTCCTCCCCCTCCTCCTCCTCCTCCTGCTCCTCCTCCTCCTGCTCCTCCTCCTCCTGCTCCTGCGCTTCCTCCGTCTCCTCCCTCCCTCCTCCTCTCCCTGCTCCTCCTCTCCCACCTCCCCTTCCCCCTGCTCCCCCTCCTGAGATGCAATCCGTTTCATACCAGGCGTTTTTGCTCAGTTTCGGTTTCAATTGTATACGAATCACAAGAGTCGGATACAGATCATGGCCACGTCCGAGCTCAAGTGCATTTGTTTAGCTGATATCATGATCGGCCGTCGGTGATCGGACCGATCGGAGCGGTTTTTTCAGATTCCCATTAGGCGGCTTAAGGGAGCTCATTGCATCCAGAAGCGTTCTTATGATCTCTTCCTTAATCGAAACCTTTTCGAAATGAGCCAGCAACATCGCAACCACTTCGGACCGATCGCAATAGGTTGGACCGATCGCAATAGGTTGCGATCGGTCCGAAGTGGTTGACGATCGGTCCGAAGTGGTTGCGATCGGTCGTGCTCGCCCACCCCACCCCTCCCCTGCGGGGGAGGGATCGAAGGGAAGGGGCTTCCCTTCGACTCAATTACGACGTTGCTCAACTTTGCTTTGGCTGGCGCGCTGAGGAAGTCTCTGGGAAAGGGGGGAGCTTCGACGAGCCCAGGGAAAGGGGGGGAGGCAGGGAAAGGAGAAGACAAAGGCGACGACCCACGAAGGACGGAGATGACGACTTGAACGGACAAGCCCTTCAGACACGCCGACAGGGTCGGCGGATATTTTTTTCATAAGGGAAGTGGTAAACCCTTCCCCGAAGGGGAAAAGGGGCAGATGGAAGACGAACACCCTAGACCACCTACGCCCTAAAGTGCTGGCGGGTTTCTTGCAGCCCGCAACCCCGGGCAGGGCCGTCTGAGGGCGTTCCTGGCCCGTCCGACGTCGTCGGAAAAGCCATTCCGCGGGCCTCTCTGGGCCGACATGGGGCCCTCCTGGGGCGCTTCAGGGCCGTCTTCGAGACCATCTTGGACGTCATGGAGGTCTCCTGGGCCATCTTGAGGGCCTCCTGGGGCCATCTCAAAGGCCTCTTGGGCCGTTAGGGTGCCATCTCCGAGTCCTCTTTGGCGCTCTTGGGGCCATCTTGGTGGCCTCTGGGGCCGTCTTGGACCGACGGAAAGCCGAAAATGAACAGACGCCAACATCCGTCAATCATCCCCCAAATGATTTCGACCTCTGCGGGCATTCTTGGAGGTCCTCTTGGAGGCCTCTTGGGCCGTCTTCATCCGTCCTTCATCTCTTAGTTGTCTTCCTCATCTCCGTTAACCGAGAGCCCCGGATAATAAATCATCCCCCCCTTTCCCCCTGAGGGTTGATTCTCTCCGGCCAAGACAAAATTGGGGCGGCGAGGCCGAACTTCATTATCGTGGGGAAAGCCACGAACTGAAGTTGCTGACTTCTTATGGTGAGTAACAACATCATCACGGAAGCGTTGCCAGGCTATCTGATTTCACCAGTTCAGTTTTCCAGAGTCGTCGTCGTCTTCGTGCGACGACAACGACAACGACCTCCACCTTTCTCGTCATACATCCCACGTGCGACTTGTTGCGGCAAATCTTTTATTGCCCCCCTGGGCTTGACTGTTATTTTGGATGTTATCATCAAGGGCATCTGGTTATCTTCTCTCATCAGCCTTAGTTCTCATCCTCATTCTTATTGCCTCTGCGTCCTCTTCCTCCTACTCCCCCTCCTCCCCCTGACCCTCGTCAGCGTTGGACCATCCATCTCTACCTCCATTGTCCTTCTCGAGCATTTGTTCGACAGAATTTGGGATTGAATGGATCCCTCGCCACGTCGCTGAGAATGCACTCTGCCTGCTGCTGCCATTTCTGTAGGTCTCCGTTATCTCCTCTCACTTCTCCCTCGTCTTGCCCACACGTGTGCACGTGTTTGCTGGAGCGACCCCGTAGCTCGTCCATCCACCGCCCCCTCCGCCGCCCACGCCCAGATAGCTATGGCGGCCAGCTGCCGCGTGGCCCTACGTGAGGTCTCCGGCGGTTAGACGCGCGCGCCTTTGCTGCTTTCGACCTTCTACGCCTCGACGCTGCGCGCGGGGCCGCGACGCCAGAAAGCGTGCGTGCTGGAGCGACCAGCTCGCCATCAGCCCGCTCGAGTCGAGCCGCCGTTCTCCCACTTTGCTCCTCTGATGCGAGGCCAGGAGTTCCCGGTACACTGGGGGGTGGTGTCCAGCCGCTCGCCCGTCTTCAAGAGCATGCTGGAGTCCGGCATGTCGGAGGCCGGCAGGAGGCCCGCGGGGGGGCCTCGGGAGCCTCAGACTCGAACGGGTGTCGCTGCAAGCGGGGGGTCAGCAAGAGCGCCCCGGACCTTGCAGGATCCTGCAGAGCCATCGGCGCGAACGACATGGGTACGGAAAGAATGGGCACAGTGCCCAACGGCAGTTCTTGTTCATTTAGAACAGGACTCGCTGTCCGCGCCGCCGCGGCCTGTGCCCATCCGAGACAGGATGTCGCCTGCCCAACAGCGGCCGCTGCTGGTTTGGGACAACATTTGTTGCTGGTCATTGTGCCCATTTTTTCCGTGCCCGCTTCGGGCGTCAAAGAGCCAGGGGTGCATTGGCCCGGGCTAGCGCGCAGGATCTTGCAGGATTATGTAGAATCTCGGAGGCGGCAAAGACGGAGGTGATGACTAGGGGGGCGGTGGATATCATGGCGGGGGCCATGTGATTTCCCCAGATTTTATGGCGCCTTTGTCTTGTTCCATTACGTCCCTGGCCCCCCCGCAGGATCCTGTAGGGTCTTGCAGGATCCTGGCTAGCGCGCAGGATCTTGCAGGATCCTGTGGGATCTTGCGGGATCTTGCAAGGAGCCCGACTGGCCCGGGTCTGCACTGGCCCAGGCCGGCAGTTCCCCGAGGGCCTGGCTTACCAGACGTTCCGGGCTTCTGTCGGGGGTGGACAGACCTCCTACCCTGACACGTCGATTGAGGAATTGGCCGTTTTCGGTTCGCGAGGGGGCGTCGCGGCCGTCAATCTTGCGGGCCCAGGTCCGTCGGTTTCGGTCCCGGGCCGTTTTCACTAAGGGGGGGTTTGCTAAAGGGCGGTCTGTCCACCGCCGATTCCGACGCTGTGTGTTCTCCACTCCCCATCCGGACGGCGGGGCTGCTCTAAGCTCCCGACCCGCCTCGCCCACCCGGCATGCCGCGGCCACCAGGCCCCCAGGTGTGCTGGCGCTCCCTGGTGAATTGATGATTCGGCCTCCCGTGTTCTAGGAAGAGCGACTGTGCAGTCGGGGCGCTGAAGAAGGAACCCTTCTCGTGGGGGAGGGGCTCCGTGTTCCTTCATAGTTTCACAGTTTGCCCCAGGTTTTCCTCAGATTTTCGATGGGTTTAACTTAAAAAGGGACCTCGTTCCTGATTTTGGGCTCCTTAGGTCAACGCCCCGATTGTATGCAGGCCCAAGGCATACTGGTGCTCCCTACTCCGAGCTTCTGAAGAAGCGTCGGGGGGGGGCGTCGCCCCCGCTGACCGCCCCACATCGACCCCCGCCGCGGGCAGCCACCGCGCGCCGAAGTCGTTCCGACCCCCGTCGCGGCGCGACGACGAGGCGAAGTTGACCCCCGTCGGGGGGGTACCCCCCTCGCTTATTCAGAAACCCAGAGTAAGTATCCCACCTCGCGTTCTCGGGTGGGGGCCGTTCGTTGGAAGCAACATTATTTTATTTCCTGTCGTATTCCCGTCCTTTTATAGCGTCCAGGGGAGGGGCCGTTGGCAGGGCTGGGGGAAGTTCAACCCGGAGCAACAAAAAATGGTCCAAGGGAAGGTGGCGAGAGTTCAGGGGCCTACGGACTGTACACTTTTTTGACATCCATGCGAAGCCCAGCTGCAGAGGCAGAGAGAGATATAGAGAGGAAGAGGGGGAAGGGGGCCTACGCAGTGTACACATTATGACGTCGGAGGCTTGGAGTCGACCTCACCCCTCGCAAGCGAGGGATCCCCCTCCAAGCCATCAACGTGCGGTCATCGTGGACGGGCACGCGACCGACAGCGCCATTCCGACGCCTGCTCTGAACTTGGATGGTTCGTGAATTCGACCTCGCCTTCGTCCGAGCGGGAGGGGAGAGGTCAAGTTCACGTCCCGCTGCAGTTCAGTGAGCGGTCTGAGCCGAGGCGAGTCGAGAATTCGACCTCATCTTCGCCCGAACGGTAGGGAGGAGGAGAAGGATGAGGAGGAGTATGACCAGGGAAAGCCTAAGACTCATCAACGATGTTGGGATACACTCTCCAAGCTCCCTCTTCATAGTCTCCATACATCGGTTCACTTCCACCGGGGGACGTGTCCTGTTGGGAGACAACCGTGTAAAAATCCTCAACCGCACCAAAACACCATTTGCAGGACTTCAACGCCACGAGTCAACGATGAGTGTTGCGCCTTGACGATTCTGAACCGTGCCAAACACCATTCCTGGGACTTCACCACCGCGAATCCATATAGCAGATGTGCCCTGGCAATCCTGAATCATTCGAAAACGCCATTTCTGGAAGGTGGACCATGGGAAGCCGCGAAACTGTTTGCAATCGTTTCATCGAATGCGCGGCGCTAAGGCGAGAGCCATAGTTTGACAAGGTACCGCCATCAAGTTGTGAAGCTCTTGCAATGCGTTAAACGAATGTGCACGGCGCTAAGTCGAGAACCTCATTTTGAAAACGGCCCGCCCTCAATCCGTGAAACTCTTGGAATGTGTTAGAACATGCGCGCCGCGCTAAGGCGAGACCCACATGGTGAGAACGACCTGCCCTCAATTCGTGAAGCTGTTGCACATGTTTGAAACACATGGTCGCGGCGCCAATTTGATAGCCACAGTTGAAATCCCCTTTGTCAACCCGTGAAACTTCTGCAACTTGTTATGACGAATGTGCGCGGCGCTACGGCGAGAGCCACATTTTGAACGCAGACCGCCCCTAATCCATGAAACTATTGCATAATTTGAAACGAATTTGCGCGGCGCTGAGGCGTGAGCCACATTTTGAAAACCACCCGCCCTACAGTGAAACAGTTGCCAGTCTGGAGGCTTGATGCTCATGAATGGTAAGGAATTCTCAGGCGAAACGCCCGGCCCGCCCTTCCGACCGATCTTGGGGTGCGACAGGGATCTGCACGAACGAGATGGGCACGGGAAGAATGGGTACAATGCCCAACAGCGGACCTTGTTCGTTCTGAACAGGACTCGTTGTCCACGCCGCCGCGGCCTGTGCCCATTCGAGACAGAAGGCCGCCTGCCCAACAGCGGCCGCTGTTGGTTTGGGACAACATTTGTTGTTGGGCATTGTACCCATTCCTTCCGTACCCATTTCGGGCGCCCAAAAGGGAGGAGTTTGTCATAAGGAAATGTATGGAGGAAGAGGGGGAGGAAGAAGAGGAGGAGGAGGAGGAGGCGGAAAAGGAGGAGGGTGAGGATGATGAGGAGGAGGAGAAGGAGGAGGAGGAGGAGACGGAGAAGGAGGAGGAGACGGAGAAGGAGGAGGAGGAAGATTTGGAGGAGGAGGGGGAGGAGGAGGGTTTGGGGTGAAAGTTGTTGTGGGGCATTGTGCCCACTTCTCCCGTACCCAATCCGGGCATCCACACACGAGTCGATCGACGTGATGGTTCGTGCCAGCGTCTGCTCTGGCTGCCGATCGATCCGACCCTCCGCCCTGCAGTGGCCAGTGGCGACCCCTCCCTCGCCCACGCACGCGGCCCAACTCCACCGATGCGACCATGGCGGCTCCGTCGACCCGACAGGACGTGCAGCCGTGGCGCACCCGCTCGCACGGAGCAGGTCATCGGCGCAAGCCTGCGCCGAAGCTCGGGCCGGACGAAAGGGGGGGATTGGGAAAGGGGGGGTTACGAAATCTGCTGCATGCAGCTGGTTTCGGCCTCACCGAGGGGCCCATTCCTCGATACATAGACGCCTCCGGCGCTGGGAGGCGCCGGGAAAATCAGCTACGTGAGCTGATTCTCAAACTCCCCGTTTGCTATCCCCCCCTTTCGCCCGACCCGAGAAGCGCACGAGCTGGTGCCCCGCCTGCTCGCGGCGGGCAGGCGCGTGGACATCCCGGACCTCGACGCCGCGACCGCCTCGCGCTTCCTCCGCTTCCTCTACACCGGACGCCGCCCCCTGGGCCCCCCACGGCCCGCCGGCTGCCACGGGGGGGGCCACGGGGTCCCGCCGGCCCCGGCAGGATCGCAGCGGGAACGGAAGTGTTGGGGACGAAGATTGGTAACGACGACGACGACGACGACGACGACGACGGCGACGGCGGCGGCAGCAGTTCCTGTCCATTTTGAACAGGGCTCGCTGTCGGTGTCACCAGCGGCCGTTCCCCTTCGAGAGGAGCGGTCTTCCGCCCAACGGCGGCCGCTACCAGTGTTGGACCACTTCTGCCGCTCAGCATCGTACCCATCTTTTCCGTACCCGTCCCGAGTGCCCAGCTGGAGCAACCGAGCAGTCCGACAGAGGCCAACGATCAGCCAGAGTCGACCTGTTTGGTGCGATCGAGTTGCCGTTCTTTGTTGTCCTCCAGTAGGTGAACGAAGAATGACATAATTTATGCCATTATTCGTTCGCGCGGATTTCTCGGATCGGCGCTGGACCCCCCTCCCTGGCGCGCGGAGTGCGCCAGTGGCGGCGCCGGAGGCGCTCTTCTTCGTTCCCCTATCCAGAGGGAGGGTCCGTGTGGTTGTCCCCGGGCCATGGCCCTGGCCCCCTCGCTCGCTGCGTGAGGACGGAGGGGAGGGAGGAGGAGAGAGAGGATGGAGAGATGCCGCAGGAGCGCTGAGAGAGGAGGATGAACAGGATCTGGAGTATCAGGATTATGAGGACGGGAGATCATGATGTGATGGTGATATGGTGATGATGAGGAGGAGGAGGATGACAATGATGATAATGCGGATGATGTTGATGGTGATGATCCTGATGTTGAAAATGACCATGACATTGACGATGACGATGACATTGACGACGACAATTGCTGCTGCTTCTGCTGGGCTGACGATGAAGAGACGCGCGAGCCGTCGTTTCTCTTATTGTATTGTAATGTTTTGCCTAACAACTAGCGCCGTTGTGTAGCATGCCTGCTGCCTCCGCTTGGGCTCTGGGTAGTTTCCTTACATATAGCTGTTTCATGTCTTGTCCTATCCCACCACCAGTGCCAGATTCACAGCCTCAATGTCGTTGACTGACCCTGGGAAGCAATCAGTAAACCCCCCTCCCCCCCCCCCCCAGAGGAAATTATAACGCCTCCGGCACCGGGGCCGGGGCGGAAGCGATATCCCCCGGGTCCGCGGAGGGGAGGTCCCCGGAGGTTCCCAGGAGGCATCCAGAAAGGCCTCCACAAGCCTCTGAATGCCCAGTCCCCTTGTAGTCCAGAGCCCAGCGACAAGGCACACCTGCCCAGAGTCGCTTCCTGTGATTCTGTGCGTTTCTGTGATTCTGTGCGTTCCTCGCCGGGGGGTTTACTGTTTGCTTCCCGGGGTAATAGTAACAATTGTATTGCCTTTTGGGCAGATTCGACTCCTCTTGTTTGCGGAGGTGGCCCCCTTGTAGAGGCGGCACCCCCAAGACTCGCACAGGGAGTCCTTCCGTGTGTGACGCGCTGCATCCTTCCCGAGCATCCTTATGACAGTCAACGCGCCTAGTAAGGACGCGTGCCTTCATCTAGGGCACCCTTGTGTCCTTGCCTCTGCGGCCCGCCCTTTGCCGTTTCCACTGGTCGCCCGCAGCCCACAACATCCCAACTTCGGCCTCCAAGGGTGTTGCGTCCTTACCACCCGTCCTTACTACACGCTTTGACTGTATCCGGGTTGACTCTGCATTTTCGTAAGAGAGGTGGGCGTTCCACGATGCTTCCGCGTGCGGCCACAGGCGGGCACCGGGCAAAACTGAGGGAAACAAACACACACACAGACACGATAGTGGAAAAATATGGAAAATCCTCATTCCCCAGAAAATAGTCGATTCCCCAGAAAAGAGTCGATTCCCCAGAAATGGAAAGTGGAAATATGAAACAACACATGCAGAACTCGTCGATTCCCCAGAAAATAGTGGAACATATGGGAGGCGGGAGGGAAGACAAAAGCCCAGCACATATGGGAAAGTATGGGGAATCCTGTTATTGCGTGTCTAGTCTAGACGAAGACCTTTTGGGGGCTTTTTTTGGTTTGGGGCTGAAGAGGCGGGGGTCCATGCAAGCGGGGGTCAGCCAGAGCGTCTGGCCTTGCAGGATCCCGCCGAGCCAGGGGTGCACCGACTCGGGTTCGGGTGGCAGCACTCTGCAGGACCCTGCGGGGTCTTGCGGGATGCCGCAGCGCCTGATTGACCCCTGTCCGCACTGGCCTGGGTCAGTTCTTCCCCGAACCTCGGCTCGCCTGCACCGCGCACGGTGCGCCCACGAGGCGCCCGCTGGCGGCCACGAGTTGGGCACTGGGCGACAAATTGGCAGACCCAGCCATCTACAAGTGAGACGCCTCGACTGCATGGCAGTCATTGTGTCGAATGTACTCTGGATTCGGAGGCCGCAGCGTTATGCACTGCGGCTTGGAGTGCAATGGGGAGGGGAAGGGGGGCCGAGCGGGAGGCCTGCAGAGGGGGATCATGAAGAGAGGGCGGGGAGGGAGGAGGAGGAGGAGGAGGAGAAGATGGGAGGGCGAGTGGGAGGTGTACGTGGGGAGCAGGGAGGAGGGATTGGGGAGGAGGAGGAGGAGGAGGAGGAGGAGGAGGGCGTCGATCAGCTAAGGAGTGCGGGAGGGGCACGGGATCGAGCAGGGAAGGCGAGGAGTGACGAGGGAACGGGAGGAGGAGGGGGGAGGAGGAAAGGGGAAGGAGGAGGGACGGGAGGAGGGACGAGGAGACGGGAGCAAGAGGAGGGAGGAGGAGGAGGAGGAGGAGGAGGAGGAGGAGGAGGAGGAGGACGACGAGGACCTGGCGATCGCAAACCATTTCCGTGGGAGCTCGCGGTTTTCCGCCACCGAGCGAGGCGGCACCGGCCGCCTTTTGGGGAGGGCACCTCTCCCGATCCATGGATTTGGCGACCGCGCGCCAAACCCATGGATCGCTAATCCATGCTTGCGCGCACCCGAGGGGAAGAGGGCTGCGAAGGAGCACGCGCGCGAGGACGAGGAGCAGGAGTTCGATAGGGATGGCAGGCCGTGCGCCCCGCGCCTGCGCCGAGGATCCATCGAGGGCGGTTGCGAACTGATCGCCAGCCCCGTGGGCAGGTCGGTCGCCGCCCTGCCCGCCGCCGCCAGGCCTCCTCCAGGGGGAAGGTCTCTGTCGGACTTTGCTAGAAGTGCCCCTGGCCCAAGGGGCCCCCAGGATTTCCAGGGACGCCTCCACTGCGGGACGGGAAAATGACCACAGCCACTGCTTCTTGTTTGCGCCGCCTTCCAGCCGGCCGAAAAAGAAGCAGTGGTTGTGGTCATTTTTCTGGTGCCAAGCTCAACGAAAATGACCACAACCACTGCTGTGTTTCTGCGGGCTGGAAGGCGGCAACAAAAGAAAAGCAGTGGCTGTGGTCGTTTTCACGCCCCGTATCCACGGCCTGAGAGCACCCCCCTTTGGGCCCTGGGGGCCCCGGGGGCTTCCGAAAGGGAGCACTTCTGGCCACACCCGAGGCTGTTCTGCGGCTTCCCCGGAAGAGCTGGGGCGTCGCAGCGTGAGTGGTCGAGCGCCTCCTTTTCCTCTTCCTGCTCATCTTCTTGGCATCGCTCGGAGCCATCCTGCACTTGGCATCGCTCGAAGCCAGGGGCCTCTCTTGGGGCACATGCAGCTGACGTCGTCGTCGGGCAACACATCTTCTAGTGAGAAGCTTTGGAACTATCCAATGTGATGTGGTGGGGTTTGGGGGTTTGAGGTCGCCTTCAGGAACGGACGCGATGTCAGAGACGATGAGTGAGCGAGGCGGAGTCTTTGGGCGAGTGGCGCAGGCAGTACGGATAGCATTAGGCTCAGAGAAAGTTTGTTGGAACGTCTCCAGGTGGCACTACGTCGACAGCTGCTTCTACGAGATCGTTGCCGAGGTGCCAGCGAGAGTCAGAGTGAGCGCAGCGATAGCTGTTGGCGAGATCTAGGAGACAAGTGTATCGATTCCCATGACGACACTGAGCCTGATGTATCAGCAACGGAGATCACGAGGACGGCTGCATCGGCCACGGCGATCGCGAGGACCGTCGTGCTTCATTGCTCCAGCGGCGGCAGTGAGGACAGCGCTGACCCGGCAGTCATGACTGCACCTGTTGCGCTCTGGTCGATGTGATTCTGGAATTTACGGAGTGTAACTGGCGGTTTCCATCGACCGCTTTTGCCATGGGAGAGATGAAAGGAGAAAGGAGCGAGGCGCCAGGAAGCTTGTACACCATTGTGAAGGATTGATCGCGTTCGCAAGGAGCAGAAGCATGATCCTCTACCTCCAGCGCCTCCGCCTTTGGTCACGAGCGGCGAACGTATCCAGATCCATGCCCTCGCGGTCTGGACCCTGGAGCGCGATCCCGTGGATTCGCGGTCGCATGGTTTCATTCCGCATGGGGCATTCGCAGGACACACGCCCCGTTTCATCAGGGTCGCGGGCCCGCGAGGCCGTGGACATGGAGATGCCTCCCGCCCACGACTCACAGCCCCCCTGGTGCCGTGCTAACCACTCAACGTTTGAAACTTGCACGAGCCTCCCCTCCGGAAATGCCCAGCTGCAGCCAAGACGCTGAAACCAGGACCGTTTCGGCTTCTGGAGGGGATCCGGGTTTCGGGCCGCTCCCATGATCCATGGGGAGCCCCCAGACCAGGTGGTAAGATATCCGGTGGTGACCCAGAATCCCCAAAAAGTCACCGCCAGGTTTTGGAACACGGGGTCACCGGCAGGTTGTGTACCGCCGGGGATTTGCGACTCCTGGCCCCACCAGCGTTCAGGACATCCTTCAGCGGGCGATGAGCGGTATAAAACAATGTTTTCCACCGTCGGGGGCGCCTGCCCCCGGGCGGCTGGAGAGTTTCTACCCTGGGACAGGCGCCCCCGACAGCGAAGCAGTTGATTCGTTGCCGTTCTTCGCCCGTTGAATCCTCGAGAAGCCACACGAGTGCCCAAGCCGGGGGGGGACACCAAGTCGCCCGAGGCCTGCCGCTGGGTGTTGTCACTCACCACCGCGTTTGGGGGCCCTCAATATATCAGGAGGGAAAGAAACACACAGACACAATGAGTCGGTGATTCCCAGGAAGATATGGGAGACTATGGGAAGTGGGGGGGAAGACGAACACCCAGCAAGTATGGCAAAATAAGGGACATCTGGTTATTTGTTTCTATTTATTTGTGTGTCCCAGTTTCCCTTCAATCTAGAGCTACAGGGGTGGGGGATCCCCTTCGCGGCCGGGGCCCGCCGCGGCCAGAGAGCACCCCCCCCCATCCCCGAGGGTGGAGGCGCCCAGCAGCCCCGGGGTGGGCCCCTAAGGCTTAGGGTCCACGGCCAGGGCTGTTCCACGGCCTCCTCCTCCTCTTCCTCCTCCTCCTCCTCCTCCTCCTCCCCTCCTCCTCCTCCCCCTCCTCCCCCTCCTCCTCCCCCTCCTCCTCCTCCTCCTCCTCTTCCTCCTCCTCCCTCCTACTCCTCCTCCTCCTCCTCCTTCCTCCTCCTCATCCTCCTCCTCCTCCTCCTCCTCCACCTCCTCCTCCTCCTCCTCCTCCTCCACCTCCTCCTCCTCCTCCTCCTCCCTCCTCCCCCCGCCTCCTCCCTCCTCCTCCCCCCTCCTCCTCCCCCCCTCCCCTTCCTCCTCCCCCTCCTCCTCCCCCTCCCCCTTCCTCCTCCCCCTCCTCCTCCCCCTCTTCCCCTTCCTCCTCCCCTCCTCCTCCCCCCCTCCCCTCTCCTCCTCCTCCTCCTTCCTTTTTCTCCTCCTCCTCCTCCTCCTCCTCCTCCTCCTCCTCCTCCTCCTCCTCCACGTGGTCCACGGCTCGCGGGCTGTGGAGATTGGCCGGGCGTCGGCGACATCCGCAGGAGCCATTTTCTCCACTGGCAAGCAGTGGCGAAGCGTCCTGGCTCGCCTGTAGGGTTACCAACTAATGTTTTAAGAACCCTGTGTGGTTTGCACGAACTGTGCTTAGAACAATTCTGGCTGAGTCTGTCCTAGTTTGTCACACTGGGTTTATGTTCTAAGAGCACTGTTAGTGTTCTTAGAACAGTTCTGCGTTCTAAGAACGCGTCGTGGTAGGCCTACAGAAATGCCGGGACGGCCGCTCCCTGCTCAAGACTGGGGCCACCAGGGCATACAGGCTCGCCCTGGCCCGGCGAGAGGCCACTCGGACCCATTTTGAGAGCGCCATCCTAGGTTTGAGTCGGGCGTGTCCCTCTGCAGGAGAAACATTCAGTGATACCGGAGAACGAAAAACCCAATCGGAGTCTTCGTTGATCTTACATGATCCCTCTGTCATTGCTCCTTAGGCTTATGACGTATGCGAGGGCTATGAAGGTCATGAGGGCTATAGGGCTATCGGGCTATAAGGCTATAAGGCTATAGGGCTATAGGACTAGGGCAATAGAGCACCCAGGCACCTCGGGGCACCTCCAGGCCCCCCCGGGCACCTCCGGGCACCCGCGCGCGCACCCTGGCACCGGGGCACCCTTGCTGGGCACCGCGCGGGAACCCAGGCACCTGGGCACCCGGGCTGGCCACCGAAGTCGGCGACGCACCTCACCTAATGAACCATATGAATCCATTCGGACCTCTAGAAAGGCAAATTCGGATTTGGGGAAAAATAGTCAAAGCATAGTCTGGGGACGATGTTTTGACTATTTTCCCATATATTTCGAATATTTCTGGGGCATTGTTGATCTATCCTCCAAAGTCCGCCTGTAGGGGGACATGCCCGACCTAATCCTAGGTCTTTTGGGCATGATGGCAGGACGACGACGACGACGACGACGACGACGACGACGACGACGACGACGAGCGGGCCGCATCAGGGCGACACGCTCACGTGGAGCGAGACCACGGACGCGAAAGGCCGGCCTCTTTCGCCCGCCCCCCCGCACCGTTGCGCCGGCCCCCCTGGGCCGCACTCGGGGCTCCTGCCACCCCCGACAGGCTCGCGCCGTGGAGACGTCGTGGCGGGAGGCGAGGAACTGTTGTCCGCTGTCTGCTTTCAGGGGTGCCCTCGCCAGGCTCCTCGAAGAAGTACGCGCGAGGAGTCGTGGCAGGAGTGCGAGGAGTCGTGGCAGGAGTGCGAGGAGCACGCGCCGTGGAGGGGTCGTGGCAGACGTGCGAGGAATGTTGTCCGCTGCCTGTGCTGCAGAGGTGCCCCCGCCGGGGGCTCCTCGGAGGAGCACCCGCGAGGAAGCTGGCCCCGGGGGGCCCCGCAACGACCAGGTCCCAGACCTCGGGCTCTCTCTCTCTCTCTCTCTCTCTTCCCCTCGCCCCCTCCTCTCTCCCACTCGTCTTCTCCCCTCTTTCTCTCTCTCTCTCTGTCTCCCTCTCTCTCTCTCTCTCTCTCTGTTTCCCTCTCTCTCTCTCTCTGCTCTCCCTCTTCCTCCCTCTCTCTCTCTCTCTTTCTGCCTCCCTGTGTCCACAACTTCTCGGCGGCGGGGCCGGCCTGGTGGGGCTTCTGCGCCCAGGCAGGATACACGGCCAGCTCACCAAGTCCGGAACCATGAGCTGGACCGCGCGGCTCTCCAACGGCGCGCTCATCACCGTCTCGCTGCAGGACGGCGCGCGAGCGTCACCCTCCGGGGCCCCGGAGAAGAGAGCACGGCATGCATCGAAGGAGAGAAGAAGGCGCCATACGCATAGGCTTCTGGCGCTCCGCGCGGCGCGGATGGCTTGGGTCCGCGCGTGCCAGCGCGGAGCCAAGAAATCCGCGCGGAGTGCCCAAAAGTTTAGTATGTTTATGGCGTGTTGCTCCTCTTCTTACCAGCCTCGAACTTATCCCTATCCCTAAGATTGACACGCCAAAAGGCGATGACAATCTTAGGGATTCGCCATCAAAAAATAAGGGATGAGGATATGCCCAGCATAGGGATAGGGATATGTTCCAGGCTGGTAATCTTCTACTCTGGGTCGAGCCGTGGTAGAAGCTCGAGGTCGCTTCGGGGAGGGCAACCTCGTGTTATTCGAGCTTGTGCTGGATGTTTGGGTGCATCCTGCGGAGGAGATACCCTTGGATGTGCTGTTCACGTTGGCCGACTGAGGGTCCCTTGCTCTTGAGGGCTGTTTTTTTGGTTTACGTAGGTCCGACTGTGGACACATGAAGTTTCGAATCTCCGCGCGGACTTGTCGGATCTGCGCCCAGGCCCCCACTGCGGCGCCTCTGGCGCCGCGCATTGGGAAGGTGGGTCCAGCGCGGATCCAAGATATTCGCGCGGGCATCCGACCGTTCATGCTGGCGCAGTTGCTTCTTCCTTTATCAGTCCTCCTCCGCTTCCGCTTCCTCCTCCGCCACTGGACAGCGGCTCGTTACTGCCACTGAGCCAGTGCTATATGTTCTGCGTGTGGAGGCGGTGAACACAGCGGGGTTGGGTGGTGGGGTGGGGGGGGGGGGCAGGGCGCAGCAGCACTCCCGCCCCCTGTGTCAAGGTTTGCCTCTCACAGGGGCCAGCAGCAAGTCGGGCACCAGCCCTCTGCGATGCCTGCCCGCTCTCGGCCCTGCCCGCTCTCGGCCCGCATCGTCCCTGCCAGCGGGCGGCGCCGTGGTCCTGAGGAGCGCGGGATGAAGGAGGAGGCGGAGTCTCGTGGAGGAGGAGGAGGAGGAGGAGGAGGAGGAGGAGGCAATGACGGTGCCCACGCCCCTCCTCCTCCTGCTCCTCCTTCTCCTCCTCCTCCTCCTCCTCCTCCTCCTCCTCCTCCTCATCCTTCTCCACCCCTGCATCCTCTGGCGCACCCCCGCCCGCCGGCGTCGCCGCTCGCGAGCCCCGAGGCAGAGACTCGTTGAGGCTCCTCGAGTAGGAGATCGTGCCCCCCCCCGGCCCTGGAGACTCCTCGGCAACAGAGGGCCGCTGTCGCCCTGGAGGGTGTGAGGGGGCGACACCCTCGCTCGCACGAGGAGGAGGAGGAGGTGGAGGAGGAGGAGGAGGAGGAGGAGAAGGAGGAGAAGGAAGAGAAGGAGGAGACGGAGGAGGAGGAGGAGGAGGAGGAGGAGGAGGAGGAGGGAGGAGGAGGAGGAGGAGGAGGAGGAAGGAGGGGACGAGCACGGGCGCAGGCTCAGACCTCCAACGCTGCGAACAGAGGCACGGGGCACCCTCGGGCAGCACGTCGCGCTTGTGGGCCCCGAGCCGAACGGTCCTCCTCCTCCTCCCCCTCCTCCTCCTCCTTCCCTCCTCCTCCTCCCCTCCTCCTCCCTCCTCCCCCCTCCCCTCCTCCCCCTCCTCCCCCTCCTCCTCCTCTTCCTCCGCCTCCTTCTCCTCCTTCTCCTGTGCTGCCAGGGGAATTGGATGGGTGGGCCGAGTCCTTGCTCTGCCCTCGGCTCCAGCATATCGGCCCGGGTGGCCGCCTCGCGAGCAGGCGGCAGGCGGCGCTCTAGCGGCAGAAGAGGTGATTACGGGTTCCCCGAGACCTCGCATTTGGCAGCAAAGCGCGCGGCGAGTGCGCAGGCGTCGCGCAATGTCCACGTGAGCGACGCAGAAAACGGGGTCGTTTGCGCCGACATTCGTGCCCAAGTTGTCCGCGTAAGGTCGCGCGTGAGCGCCCTCGTTTCCAAAGCGGCGCGCTACGCCGAAAGCCCAAGTAAGCCTCCGCGCAAGGTCGCTACAGGCACCCCGCATAGTAAGGATGAGCGGCTCTCCAAGGTTACCCTTGCATCCTTCCCCCTTCGGCCTATCCGTGGCCACTCTCGCTGGCCGCGCCCGTTCGCAACATGTCGACACAGTCTTCGCAGGTCCTTGCAATCTGATCGTGCGTCCTTCTAGCACGACGGGTTGACTGTACGTCACCTCGCAGAGACTCCTTTTACCGAAATGGCGCTCGCTTGTCATTGTTCCGTCGGGCAAAGCAGCAGCGGCGGCGCCGCGCTGCCTCTGCCCGAGCTGAGCCCGCCGAGGACGGAACGCGGCGGATGGCGTCGGATTCCCGACCGCTGTGCTTTTTTTGTGGAGGGAGTACGGCTGCCACTCTCACCCGTGGAGGGTGGGATCGGGCGGGGCAGGAATGAGGGTACATCCGCTCGCCTGGCCAGGTCGACGCTGCCGCTCCAAAGGGGAGCCCTGCAAGAGGTTTCCCGTGACGAAGGCAGTCTGGATCACATCAGGCACAGTATTGTTGTCCAGATGGTATCGTAACGTTGTCCTGTCGGAAACAGACCGTGCGCAGTCCAAGCCGACGTTGCAGACGTCTTCATCCCGCTGCTCTGCCTCCTCCGTTTCTGCTGTCGCTGCTCCTCTTCCTTCCCCTCTCGCCCTCCTCCTCCTCCTCCTCCTCCTCCTCCTCCTCCTCCATCTCCTTCTCCTCCTCCTCTCGCGTCCGATCCTCGTCTTCCTCGTCGTCGTCCTTTTCCTCCTTCTCCCGCGCCCGATCCTCTTCCTCCTCTTAGTCGTCCTTTATCCCTCTCGCTCTCCCGCTCCTTGTCTCCGTCCTCATTCTCCTGCTTTCCGTCCTCGCCCGCCGCCTCCTCGTCCGCCTCTCCCTCCCCCTCGTCTCTCCTGATCTTCCCTCACAGTCGAGCTCGATCAGTAGGTCGACCATGCCACATCGAGGGTGCCTCTGTGTCCTGCCAATCCTGACCTGTGCACCCCGCGGGTCCTTTGTCCTGTGGTGTTACGAGGCCACGTTGCCGTCGGAAGAGGCGTGTGTCCTCGCGGGTGTACAGTCCTCGGGGGTGGACAGAACCCCCAACAGTGACACGTTGATTAGTGAATTGTCCGTTTTCGGTTCTCGAGAGGGCGCCATGGCCCTTATGTTCCAGGCTTGCGCCCGCCAGGTTTGGGCCTCAAGTCGTTTTCACTAAACCACGTTTAGCTAAAGAGGTGTCTGTCCATCCCCGATCCAAGCAAGTCCGACTGTACCTCCAATTCTCTCCCCTCCAACCCGTTCCTGGCCCGTCGCCGCCGCTCTCGCCGCCCGCCCAGAGGACGGCAAGGCCCACGGCGAGTACAAGGAGGGCAACGTGGAGCCAGTGAAGACCGAGGCCTACAACCTCGAGGCGGAGGTGCCCGCCGTCTCCTGTTGATCTCGTCGGGGTTGCTCGCGAGAGCTGTGTGATGTCGTCGATGTTGATGTCAACTGAAGCGTGGTGATAGACATGGTAACGCTTTTTTCTCTAAAGACAAGGCTGGGCTCGTTCACGAGCCGAATTTGTATTGATATGAAACCGCGCACAGGAAGCCAGAAAGCTGCAGTACTGAATATGGTTACGGAATCGGATAGGAGGTTTCCCCGAAACGTTCAAACCTTACCAGATCGGTGGTTCCTAATGTACCGTGAAACTCTCGGGGGGCGGAGCAGGAACGGCGTCAGCGAGTTCGAGTCGGCTGCGCCATGCCGTCGACCCCAGTGAGGTGCCACGTCAGAGGGAGTTGCCAGGTTCAGGCATGAGCTTCAGTGGCTGCGTTCGCTGCAGGTTCGTCTGGGCTCGAGAGCTTTGGAGTTCGCAGAACTGGGTCGTGGCGTCGGTGGAGGTCGCTTTTCGGGTGGAAACAGGTAGCACGAGAGGAACGCGTATGAGGAGGAGACGGAAGAACGCGAGCAGGTGAGGTGTGAGAAATGAGGAAAGGTTGAAAGCAGGAATCCCGAATCGCGGAGGCGGGGGAATGGCCAGCACGAGGAGCACACCCCAGGGGGGAAGCCAGCACGCAGTGCTCCCGAATTGTGTGAGTGTTAGGGGCGTTCCTCTCGACTTGTGCGTGTGCGTGTGCGTGTGCGTGTGCGTGTGTGTGTGTGTGTGTGCGTGTGTGTGTGTGTGTGTGTGTGTGCGCGCGCGTGTGTGTGTGTGTGTCTGACCGATCATTCGGTCCTGGCCTGTGGCCTCGCGGGTCCTCGTAGCGTGCAATTGCAGCGGGTGGTCGTGTTCACGAGTGCTCCGCACTGCGGTGCAGTGGGTGAGCGACTGCGCCTCGGGCGCGGATCTCTGCAGCAGCGTCTGCAGGTGGACAGCTACAACTGTTCCGTTCTGCTCGCACCAGACATTACCAGCCTGGAACATATCCCTATCCCTATGCTGGGCACCTCCTCATCACGATGCGAATCTTAGGGATTCCCTTATTTTTTGAGGGCGGATCCCTAAGATTGTCATCGCCTTTTGGCGTGTCGATCTCAGGGATAGGGATACGTTCGAGGCTGGCAAAGACAAGCAGTCGCCGACCATAGGCACCACAGGGGTACTTGCGCTCACACTGCGTAGGGGCCGAAGCGCCCTGGCTTCATCAGCGCTGCAGTCTCAGTCTCTCGGCGCGGCGCATCCCATGTCGACGCCAGTTCAGGTAGACCTGGTCTCGTCTGATTCCGGGGCTTTTGGGGTATTCCCGACATGCTCGGCTCGCACATGCTGTCCTCTCATGCGGTAGTTCCAGAGTGTCAAACGATTCGGAGGCGGATAGACCTCCTGGCCTGACACGTCGATCAAGGAATTGGCCGTTGTCGGTTCGCGAGGGGGCGTCGCCGCCGTCATTTTTGCGGGTTCAGGTCCGTCGGTTTCGGTCCCAGGCCGTTTTCTTTAAGGGGAGGTTTATTAAAGGGAGGTTTGTCTACCGCCGAACGGTACACGAAGAAAAAAGGATAGACGACCGCCGCAATTCTTTCTAATGCGGGTGCCGCGTTATGTGTATGTTGTATGGGTGTCTCTGGGGGTGGCCGCCGGTGCTGGGTTGCCACTGACTTGAAGCCCCTCCTGAGAGGCAGCACGGCGCTTTGCAAGATGGGGCCCTGTATATTGGAAGGCTCTAGCCTGCACCGTGGATCACTCTGTTCGCCCCTCTTGCACAGTCGACCTGTCATGTGAGGCCGACCCCGGCACGCCTGGGCCACCCTGGCCCTCCCCTGCAGCAGGGGTCGGGCTTGGCTCAGGAGGGAAAGAAACACACAGACACAAGTAATCGGCGATCGCCCAGAAAAAGATGGGAAACCATGGGAAATGAGGGGGGGAAGACGAGAGCCCAGAAAGCATGGAAACATATGGGGAATCCTTTTATCTCTGTGTGTATGTTTTCTTGTGTGTGCCAGGGCCCCTCCACTGTGTGTGTGTGTTTTCTGGTGTGCTTTGTCGTGTGCTTTATCGTGTGCTTTCTCGTGTGTTGTCTTGTGCTTTCTTGTGTGTTATCCAAGGGCTCCCCCGAGGGCGCGAAGTTATTCGCGCTTCGCGCTTCGCGGTCCTCGTTCCTTCTCCCCCTCCTCCTCGTCCTCCTCTTCTCCCTCTGGGGGGGCGGCGCGAGAGCGCGAAGTTATTCGCGCTTCGCGCTTCGCGGAGCGCGAAGCGCGAAGTTGGGAGCCCTAGGTTATCTGTGTGTGTGTGTGTGTTCTCTTATGCGTGCCAGGGACCCCTCTTCCTTGGCCCCGAGGCCTCCCCGCCCGAGCTCCGCCTGCGCTCCCCCCCGGGGCACCTTCCGGGGCCCGCCGTGGAGAGGGCCCCCCCCGGGCGGAGGCCCACACGCCTGGTCGGGCAGGCACCTCCCTCGCCTCTCGGGGGCGGCCAAGAGGGCGGCCTCCTCCTCTCGCCTCCTCCTCCTCCTCCTCCTCCTCCTCCTCCTCCTCCTCCTCCTCGCTCCTCCTCCTCGCTCTTTCTCGTCCTCCTCCCCCTCGCTCCTCCTCGCTCCTCCTCCTCGCTCCTCCTCCTCCTCCTCCTCCTCCTCCTCCTCCCCCTCCTCCCCCTCGCTCCTCCTCCTCCTCCTCCCTCCTCCTCCTCCTCCTCCTCCTCCTCCTCCTCCTCCTCCTCCTCCCTCCTCCTCCTCTCCTCCTCCTCCTCCTCCCCTCCTCCTCCTCCCTCCTCCTCCTCGCTCCTCCTCCCCCTCGCTCCTCCTCCTCCCCCTCGCTCCTCCTTCTGCTCCTCCTCCTCTCCTCCTCCTCCTCCTCCCTCCTCCTACACCTCACTCCTCCTCCTCCTCCTTCCCCTCCTCCTCCTCCTCCTCCTCCTCCTCCTTCTCCTCCACGTGGTCAACGGCTCGTGGGCTGTGGAGATTGGCCGGGCGTCGGTGACATCCGCCTGCCCCTCCCTCGCCTCTCGGGGGCGGCCAAGAGGGGGGTGATGGCTAGGGGAGGGTGGATATCATGGCAGGGGGCATGAGATTTCCCAGATTTCATGGCGCTTCTTCTCATCTCATTACGTCCCTGGCCCCCCCCGCTGGGCCGCGCACATGCCGCCAGTCATGATTTGCACCCCCCCCCTCTTGGACGCCCCCCTCTTGGCCGCTCCCGACCCTTGGGGCTCAAGGCTTCAAGCAGTGGCGGAGCGTCCTGGCTCGTCGATAGCCCATCCAAACAATGTTCTAAGAACCCCTTGTGGTTTCCACGGAATGCTCTGAGAATATGTCTGGCGGAGGCTGTCTCGTTCGATCACATCGGGTTTATGTTCTCAGAACTCGGTTTTTGTTCTCAGAACATTTCTGGGTCCTCAGAACATTTCGTGGTAGGACTATAGGAATGCCGAGACGGTCGGTCCTTGCAAGAGGTGGGGGTCAATACAAACGGGGGTCAGCCAGGGCGCTGGATCTTGCAGGATCCTGCAGGGCCAGGGTCGCACCGACCCGGGTTTGGATGCAGGATCTTGCAGGATCTTGTAGGATCCTTCGCATCGACCTGGGTTTGGGTGCAGGATCTTGCAGGATTTTGCAAGGCCTGTCTGACCCAGGTTTGGATTGACCCGGGTCAGAAGATCCCCGATCCTTTCGGGGCGCTAAGGTCACCGAGCGCGTTCCACTGCTCGCAAAGTGCCTACTCGCAAACGGCCCTGACAACACATGTCTGCATCGATGTAAGGTGTCGTAAATATCCCATGGCGGATACAGGCCATTTGCGAGTAGTTACTTTGCGAGAGTAGTGGAACGCGCTCGTCTATAAGGGGTGGTCAGCCAATCTCCTTTGGCTGATCCCCGTTTAGGAATCACGCGGGGCCGATTCCCGCTGGTTCGCCCTCCGCTGACCCCGGTTCGGGACAGATCCCTTATTATATAATCGTCCCCCGGGTCCGGTTTTGTAAGGCGTCTTTTTTGCAACTGGGGGGGTCCGGTTTCTTAGGGCGCTTTCTTATTGGATTGGAGCTTAGGGGTCCGGCTCATGCAGGCGCCCGCCGAAGCGGGGGGTCCAGAATATCAGGCCGCATTTTTGAGGGGGTCCGGTTTTTTAGGGGGGGGCGATTACATTATGGGATTTGGAGTGCCGCGCGGCTGGTCTGGCTTCGCGACGGGACCCTGGACGACCCGAGTTTGGACACGCGTGGCTTCGTGCGCCCCGGGTCCCTCCCCTCGGAGGAGAGCCTGCCGGGGGGACAGCGGCGGCCCTCCCTGAGGCTCGGGCCGAGCGAAAGGGAGGGATAGGGAAAGGGAGGGGTTACGAAATCTGCTGCGTGCAGCTGGTTTCGGCCCCGCCGCCGGGCCCATATCCTCGAGACATGGGCGCCTCCTGGCGGCGGGACCCCTGGGGCGGGGTCCGAGGCTCCTCGCGAGTCGGTTTTCGCTGGGCCCTCCTCCTCCTCCTCCTCCTCCTCCTCGCTCCTCCTCCTCCTCCTCCTCCTCCTCCTCCTCCTCCTCCTTTCCCTCCTCCTCCTCCTCCTCCTCCTCCTCCTCCTCGTCCAGGAGCGTGCGTCGAGGAGAGGCAGCGTACATAAACTGCGCACCGCGGCCGTGGATCGGAGTGCGGCGGTCAGAGAGCAACAACCCCGGCACATTTCGGATTCGGCACGGGCGCCGGCAGATCCCGTGGGGTGGGCGAGCCTCCGTTGTCTCGGTGGTCTCCGGGCTTCCTCGGAAAAGGCTCCGGAGGCCTCCGGGCTTCTGGGAAACTCCCCATCGAGGGTACGGTACCCAAGGTGGAGGGTGGAGGCAAGTGCCTCTCGCTTGTCTCTTGGTCGGCCCGTCGTGCGGCGTGGTCCGAATAAAAGTGCGCGTCATTTTCCGCTTGTGCTCAGGCCCACGCGCCCACGCTTCGCCTGGTGTGCGGCCTGTCTGCCTGTCTGTCCGTCCCGCCGTGCGCCTCGCGCTTCTCGGGCAGGCTGTGGGTCCCTCAGGCCCGCATCGTCAGCTCCGACTCCTGCCGCCCCCTCCTCCTCCTCCTCCTCCCCCTGCTCCTCCTCCTCCTCCTCCTCCTCCTCCTCCTCCTCCTCCTCCTCCTCCTCCTCCTCCTCCTCCTCCTCCTCTCCTCCTCCTCCTCCCCCTCCCCCCTCCTCCCTCCTCCTCCTCCTCCTCCTCCTCCTCCTCCCCTCCTCCTCCTCCTCCTCCTCCTCCTCCTCCTCCTCATCCTGCCCTGCTCCTGCTCCTCCTCCTCCTCCTCCTCCTCCTCCTCCTCCTCCTCCCCCTCCTCCTCCTCCTCCTCCTCCTCCTCCTCCTCCTCCTCCTCCCTCCTCCTCCCCCCCTTCCTCCTCCTCCTTCCCCCTTCCTCCTCCCCCCTCCTCTTCCTCGTTCTCCTCCTCATCTTCCTCCTCCTCCCCCCTCCTCCTCCTCCTCCTCCTCTTCCCCCTCCCCCTCCTCCTCCCCCTCCTCTCCTCCTCTTCTTCCTCCTCCCTCTCCTCCTCCTCCTCCTCTTCCTCCTCCTCTTTCTCCCCATCGCCCTCCGCTCGTCGGGGGGCTGCGTGCCCTCGGGCGTGCGTGGCGCGCGCAGGGGTCGGCGCCCCGGGAGGGGGGGGGGGGCGCTCGCCTGCCCAGAGCGTGGCTGGGCATCGCTCGGGCGCGTGCATATTTTTCGCGAACTGGAACATCTTCAGGAGGGGAGAAACACACACAGATACAATTCATCGTCGATTCCCCAGAATGTATGGGAACATACGCGAAGTGGTGGGGAAGACAAAAAACCAGAAAATATAGGAAAATATGGTGAGACATTTTATTTGTGTGTATTTATGTGTGTGTCCTGGGGCCACTTCACATATACATCACCAGTGGCGGGGTTGCTTTTTCAATCCCACGGCTTTTTGAGGTTCGGGGACGACGTCGGGGTGGTGTGGTGTATACGTTCCTCCCCCGTGTTCCCAGGGAAGCCACGAAGAATTTATACACCAGGATCCCGTATACACCAGGATCCGCGTTCCTGTGCGAATTTCAGCGCAGGGGCAGAAAAAGCGTCGGTGTATAGAGTTCGTTTCCTTTTTTTTTCGGCGTCACCCCAGCATGCAGTCAACCATGATGGTAAGGATGGGGCAACTTTCCAAGGCTACCCTTGCATCCTTGCCCCTTCGGTATGCGGCATCTTGCGGCATTCTGCCGCGCTCCGCACGGAAAACGTCAACATGGCGTTCCAAGGCCCTTGCCTCCTCACCGCGAATCCTTACCACCCTGGCCTAGTGTACTTCTACTAGATGTGCGTCGCCCGATCAGGGGCGACGTGCGCGCCGAGAAATCGTATGGCACATGCGTCGCGGCGGGCGCTTTCTGGCCCCACCGCTGGGGAAACGATATACTACAAGATGGGTGTACTATATCAAGAAAAAACCCAATCGGTGGATCGTTTGAAACGGCCCACCGAACTGGGCCCGAAACCACAAACCAGGACCCCAGGAATTTGGAACCGGGAACCCGGAAACTTAGGCGGCGACCAAGATCGGCGGGCAACTGTCGCCAAACCTTCCCAGTGCCGCTACAGCCGGGCCGCTGAAGAAGGAACCCTTTTCGTTTGGGAGGGGCTCCGTGTTGCTTAGTTGTTTTACAGTGTTCCTTGGGTTTTTTTCTGAGGTTTTCCATGTCACATCGGAGTTCAATGTATGGGAAACAAGGGGCTTCGTTCCTTATGTTTGTTCCTTAGGTCAACGCCCCGACTGTGGGACCCCTTCAGCACAAGCACTGATTGGGGACTGTTCGGGTCGGACGCCCTCCTCAAAGGTGAGCATACACAGTACGGCAGGTGCGCGTCGTCTCGACTGGCGGCGACCCCAGCGCGGGTGTTTAAAGTTGAACGCCGCCTGCGGCCCAGAATCGGCCCATCCTTGAACGATACGGCCTTTTTTGAAAGGGCCGATCGTTCAAGTTTGAACGATCCCCGCGGTGTCAGGAACCAACACCGAGGTCGACACGACGCAAGCCTGCCGTACTGTAGTGTGTCTCTGCGCGTCCCAATGTTTGCCCCCCCCCTGGCGAGGACCACCGAGGCGCCTCCCGGACCGCCCTGTCTGCGAAAACCGGAGCGCGCGCGACACCGACAGGGCGATCGTTTTCTTGTTCATTGCTTGGCCGATCGGCGCGGAACCTCGCCCCCCCCCAATGGAAACAACGAGAACAACGACAGCACGAACGCACGAACACGACAAACACTGGTGATAGTTCTCTTTTCCACTGTTTTGCCGATCGGCGCGGGCCCTCGTAACACCTCCCCCCCCGAACCATCCATGGAGTAGATCCTGGTTGTTTGGGGCGTCCGTTTCGAGCAGGTGGAGCGTGCTCCCATAGGAGGCGCTGCTGCAAACGGTCGCACGAAGCAGAGGTCGGGAACCAGAGCCTCCCCTCCCTTCCCCCCCCCTTTCGCCCAATGTCGAAACGCCGCATAAGAAAACTGGGAACAGGGAAAACCGACACCAACACCAACAGGGACCACCAGACGGAGGAGCCAGGGAGGGGTCCCCTGGTGGTGTGGTCCACCCCCTCTCGCTCGGGACAGCCCCCATCCCTGGCTCGGAGTGGCATCGCGTACCTCCCCGCTGGAGGTGGCCCGCCGGTGGTACTGGTGTCGCTTCTCCTCCCCCCCAAAAAACGTTCGCAGCTGCAACGGGACTGGACTGGACGCCCGAGCGGCGGCCAGGCGCAGCGGGGCTCGCGGTGGGCCGCCTCGGAAGCTCCGGGTGCGCGCCGCTCCTCGGCCTCTCGTCCGGGGACTGAGTGCGGTGAGGCAGAAGGGGGAAGTCCGCACGGCCAGGACTCCACGAGCTCTCAGCTCTGTGGTGTCCTCCCCCTTCTCCGCATCCGCGCAAAGACTCTTGGCGCTCCGCGCGGGTATCTTGGATCCGCGCTCTGGCCCCCCTGGCGGCGCCTCCGGCGCGGGCCCTGGCGCGCTCCGCGCGCCAGGGAGGGGCTTCCAGCCCAGATCCGAGAAATCCGCGCCGACCTCCAAAAAGTATATGTTTATACCGTCTTTTCTTCCTCTACCTTACCCTCCACCCCTGGTGACCGCAGGTGGCCGTGACGGAGAGCTGGGGCCGCCTGCTGCGGGCGGCGGACAAGCGCTTTCCCCAGTTAGCAGCGGGGTGGCCCGAGCGGGCCCCACGACCGTGGACTCGGGGGGGCTGCTGCTTGCCGCTGATTCTCTCTGGGGCGGGGATGGATCCATTACCACCGCCTGGGGGATCGAGCATCGGGGGCCGCGTCTGGTGGTGGGCATGGAGAGAATTATTCGGGCCCTGGGGGAGGAAATTAATTAAAAACACCGACCCTGCCTTATATAGGATACGCCTACGAGGCCAATCGTTTCGGCAAAGTTTGGCCGCGCTATTGGACCATGCGTTCCTCCAGCCTTATAGAAGCCCTCCGGAGAACACTTGGGGGAGGAAGAGGAGGAGGAGGAGGAGGAGGAGGAGGAGGAGGGGGAGGAGGAGGAGGAGGAGGAGGACGAGAAGCAGGACGAGGAGGAGCAGGAGGAGCAGGAGGAGGATGAGGAGGAGGAGGAGGAGGAGGAGGAGGAGGAGGAGGAGAGGGAGGTAACATGAGACAGAGGGGAGAAGCAGGAGCAGGCCTCTTGGGATGGGAGCCTCTGGGGCCATTCTTGGGCCCGCCTGGGAGCTTCCTGGGAGTTTCTTGGGCGTTTCTGGCCCGTCTGACGACGTCGGAGGTCGTCTTGGATGCCTCTCTGAACGGACTTGGGACCCTCTTGGGGCGCTTCAGGACCGTCGTCTCGGGGGCCAGCCTGGGCGTCTCAATACCTCTTCTTGGAGCCCTCTTGGAGCCGTCTTGGAGGCTTCTTGGGCCGTCATGGGGTCATCTTAGCGGGCTGTCTCGGGGCGATCTTTGGGGCCTCTGGGGCCGTCGCGCAGGCCGTCGGAGGGCCGACAAGAAGGAAATGCCAAATTACTGGAGGAGGAGGAGGAGCAGCTCAGGACAGTCAATGATGTGGGTCTCTTCGGCTCTTCCTGGAGGCCTTTCGGAGGCCCCCTTGGGCCGTCTTAAGCGCCTCTTTGGCGCCTCTGAGGCCGTCTTGGGCTCTTTTCTTTTGGACCATCCTCGCGGCCTTGGAAGCATCTGGGGGCCGTTGTGGAGGCAACCTTGGGGCTATCTTGGACTCTCTTGAAGCCATCTCGGCCGTCTTGGAGGCATCTTGACCACCTCGGAGGCCATCTGGAAGCCATCTGGAGCGAAAAAGCCGACGAGACGGGCAGCCGGCGCGCTGTGCCGTAGGCCCAGGGGGAGTTTTTAAAAGAACGTCCAGCACGCTGGGCACCCCTGTGGCAAACCGACAGGGGGCGGCGAATATCTAATGGCCTTCGGCCCATCCCGCCAGCGTGCCTGGGTTGTGGGTATGAGGCCTACTGGATGTTTGTTGGAATATATTGTGAGGTTTCTCGGGGGCCTCTTCGAGGCAGTTTGGAGGACTCGTGGGGGCCGTTTGGGGACCTCTTGGGGCCTCTTTTGGGCCGTAGCGGGCATTTCGGGGGCCTCTTGGGGGCCTCTTGGGAGCGTCTTGAGGCCTCTTGGGGCCTTCTTGGGGCGGAAGGCTCGGATGTTCGGTTCGTGTTCCCTCTCTTCGGCTCCTTTTGGGGCCGTCTTGGGCTTCCGAGAGTGCTTTAGGAGGCAAGACAGATCGAGTCTCAATTTTGACATATGCTTGGATTCCCGCCGTTTCGGGCAAAGAGTGGCCCAAAGGCGGGTGAGTCGGCCTGCGAGATCGCAACAACGCGGCCCAATGAGGCCCCACGCATTATTCTTAGACGGTCCACGAGGGTCCCTCGACGGCCCCAGAGGGCCCCAAGACCGCGCACGAGGGCCCCAACACGGCCCGAGGGGGCCCCACAAGGCCCCCAAGGGGACCTCCAGTAGAACCCCGAGACGGCCACAGCCCGGCATGACGGCCCAGAAGTGGCCCAGGACGGTTCAGAAGGGCAAGAGAATTCTTCAGAATGGCCCCAGGAAGACGGCCCCCCGAAAGCCCGAGAGGACGAGCAAACACGTGCATCCCCGAGGCCTCCAGGAGGTTTGCGAGAGGCCTACGGGTACACTTGCTCGGGTGGGTGATCGGATGGGGGGTTCGGGTGTTAGAGCGTTTCGGAGCTATGGTGCTCAGGTTTGGATGTTAGGACTCGGCTGTCAGGGTGCTCGGGTTCGCATGTTCGGGCTTCGGTGGTTGAGTTCGGGTTGGGATGTCAGCGTTCGCGCGTACTCTACGGTGATCGGGTTCTGTCGTTCAGGTTGGGATGTTCGATCCCACGAGAGCCCAAAGATGGCCCCCAATGAGGGCTCCAGATGCCAGACTTCACAGATATTCGCCTAGTTGTTTAGTACATTTCAACGTGCTCGCAATTACCTGGACGAGAGTGAATCCTCAGGAGGCCCCCAAACGACCCAAGAGGGCCCTCGAATTCCCAGACGGTTCTTCTCAAGACGCCTCAAGATGGCCCAACGAAGGACATACCGAGTTGACATGTCGGGCCCTCCCCCCACAGGTGGTCCTGGACACTCCCACGGATCCCACAGTACGCCATCAAGCCCCCCCCCAAGACCCCAAGAGGCCCCCGTGACGCCCTCAAAGCTTCCCAACGCTTTCAAGAGTGCCCTCTCGGAAGCCCCACAAGCTCTACCACACCGTTGACTTTATATTCCGATCGACCTCGTGAGCCTTGCAATTCGTACGAACCTCATAATCTTGAAGACCCCTATGAGCCCTACGACACCCACGAACCTCCTGAGCCATACGAGCCCCATTTCCCTATGAGGCCTATGAGCCCTACGCGCTCTCCAAGAGACCCCTGAAGCCCTCCATGTGAGCATTAGGAGCCCTATCATCTCTATAAGCACATGAGCCCAATGAGCTCCTGAGCCCTACGACACCTATGAGACCGACGACCCTTACGAGTCCTTCGAGCCCAACGAATCCTACTACCTTTGTCAGCGCTACGAGCCATATGAGCCCCATCAGCTCCATTTGCCCTATGAGCCCTACGACCTCTACGCACAATGTAAGCTCACGAGACCAGTGCGCCCCAAGACCCCATACTCCTCATGACCTCATGCGCCTTCCAACCCCTACGAGCCCCATGATCCTGATTAACTCATGGGCCCGTCGACACCTCCGAGCCCTATCACCCCTACGAACCCTCTGAGTCCCACGAGCCCTGTGTGCTCTCCAAGAGAGCTGCTAGCGACCCTGTTACCAAGCGTCCAGTGGACGCGGCACCATCAGCCCACATGAGCTCGATGGACCCGTCGAGCCCTGCGAGCACATCAATTTCCTCTGCGCCGCGAGCCCTATGGCCCCTACGAGCCCTAACGGCCCCTATGAGCCCCATGAGCCCCATGGCCCCTTATGAACCCTATGAGCCCTAATGAGCCGTATGGCCCCTCCGAACCCCATAAACCGTATGACGCTTTTGAGCCGTGTGAACCGCATGATCCTTCGGACCATGATCGCGAGGAGACTTCAGGGCACGCCTGGGCCAAGAGGGGCGAAAGTGACATAGAGGGAGGGAAACGTGCCTTCTCCCCTCGCATTGGCTATTCGCATGAGGATCAAGTAAGTCCGATGCCTGCCAACGGTACTGTCACACGGGGCACGGTGCCGAGGAGGCAGAGGAGGGACGGAGGGAGGCGGGAGGAGGAGGAGGAGCTCCCAGGAGGGGGCAGGGGCGAGACGAGACGGCTGCGGAGCAGCAGGGAGGCGGGAGCGGGAGGCGTAGGGGCGGGGAGGAGGCGGGCCGAGGAGCTCGAGGCGGCGGCGAGCGGTGGGGCATCGAGCGCGGAGGGGGGCAGAGCAGGAGTGGGCCCCGCGCAGCGCGCCGCGGCAGCGGGCGCCCTGGTCGCCCGAGGTACTGCGTGGAGGACCTCGTGTCCCTGTGCGAGGAGGCCGGCGCGCTGCCGCTCGCAGGGGGCGCGCTGCCTCCGCGTCCGGCCCCACCGTCGTCCCGCTTTGCTGCGCCGCCTCCTTCGCCGCCACCTTGTCCTCCTCCTCCTCCTCCATCTCCTCCTCCTCCTCCTCCTCCTCCTCCTCCTCCTCCTCCTCCTCCTCCTCCTCCTCCTCCTACGCCGCCTCCTCCTACGCCGCCTCCTCCTCCTCCTGCCCCCCCTCCTCCTTCTTCTCTTTCTCCTCCTCCAACCTTTTTTTTTGTCCTCCTCCTCCTCCTCCTCCTCCTTCATCACTCTCCTCCTCCTCCTCCTCCTTCTCCTCCATTACTCTCCTCCTCGGCCTCCTCCGCCCTCTTCTTCGATTGGGAGCTACCGCGGCAGAGCAGGTAAGTCATTGGGCCTCTTCTCCCTCCTAAGTCTCCACCTGCTCCTCTGATGCTGCTGCTGGTTATCCTCCTTCTCCTCCTCATCTTCCTCCTCCTCTTCCGGGAGGGGATGGGGGGCATGGGCGAGGAGAGGGGGATGGATGAAGGCCAGGCTTTGGGATTTTATACGTTTCGGGCTACGCGAGGCCCTCCCTGTCCCAAATTCTCCCCTCTCTCCTCCCCACGTTCCCCTCTTCCTCCTCCTCCTCCTCCTTCTCC